TGCAGAATTGGTAGATAATAATAATGATAATAATCCTTGCATTTGATACAGCGCCTTATCACATCATTGAGACATCTGAAGCACTTCATAGACTATATTGTGAAGTGGATCGATTGTGTATTTTGGGTGAAAACATGGCTGCCAACTGCAAACAGCAGTGTCCCACAAACAGTTGAGGATTGAGTGACCAATTTTTCTTTTGAGGGATTATTATCCCCTAAAGCAATCCGTCAATTGACTAACAACTGGGTTCCTAATTACTGCTAGGTAAGCAGAGGCGTGTGGAGTAAGGAAACTTGCCTAAGGTTTCGCTCCTCTCGGGAATCAAACCCTCGCTTGTGAGTCGAGTGCGCTAACCCTTGCGCTACAGGACTAATATAGACCACAGCAGATAACTTAACATACACCACATAACGCACTTTTTAAAAAAATATAAACTACTGTAAAAAGAAGCCAGTGCGATTTTCTCCGACTGTGAGTTCTTGATCTCAAAATAACACTGAGGCCAGCACAGGTGGAAATGAGAGGCTTTGTCACGGGAGGGAAAAGACACTTTGTGTGCAATTCAGAATCCTGGACACCAAACACCACGTTATTGAAACCTAATGATCTTTTTCAGGGGGATTGTCCTCAGGTCCAGTGAAGAGCACTTGTCACCCCACCCACGTGATCTCTTCTGAGCAGAAGCAACATCCCAGGCCGGTCAATCGCAGATCAATGTTTGAAAACGTTGAGTACTGGCCCTCACAGAGCAGGACCACAATGAGAGAGATTCTCACCTGCCAGGAACCCATCATCACAACATCCCCTGGGGTAACGATCATTGCCTGTGAACATCTTGTCCAGTCGAGAGGATTGGGCTGAGGGGTGCTTGAAGGCTTCCTAGCAGTGCTACACTAAAGCACCAATGGAATCTTGTTGTTGTTGTTGTTGTAATGAGGCATGTGAGGGCATTCCCACGTCAGAATCAAGTATTGTCCCATCAAAACGTATTTAGCAAGAAGTACCTGATTACTCCCCAACCCACTACGGCTCTGGTCTCCTGCATGTCCCTTGTGCCCTCCGTTCCACCAATGGTGGCCACTCTTTCAGCCACGACGCCTTGAAATTCTGGAACACTCTTCCTCTATCCCTCTGCCTTGCTCCCTCCTGCCCCAACTTCAGGTCGCACCTGGAGACCTTCCTCTTCAACCCGTGCTTATGATCACCTCCCCCTCACTCTGGCTCGGCATCGTGCTCCGCCACTGTCAAGCGGTCTGGGATGCTACCCTGTTTGATAGGCACTACATAAATGCAAGTTGTTGTTGTTATGAATACAAAGTTTCAGTGTGGATTTTCCTTAGTGCTTACAGTTAAGTTATGCATGGCAAAACATGGGGACCTCCCTACAGCGACATGCTGATAATTATGTACAAAACAGGAGAACTGTTCGAATCTCATGCTGTCACTTTGAATCTGAATGAACACTGTGACATCCCGTGTCCTTCACCAGGTCCAGGCTCAGGGGCAGGAACATCTGGGGGAGAATCAGGTGTCATGCAAGTGCCAACAGCAGAAACCTCTGCAGCAACCCAGAGAGAGAAAGCAGCAGCACCATCAGCGGGGGAGAGAAAGAGAGGAAAAGGGCAATCGCAAGCATCATAACGCCCAGGAACAGCGCAGGTACACACAGGACAATAGCTTAATTCACACAATTCACATCAACACTTCAAACAAGCTGGCAGTCAAGATTCATCTCTTTCATATATGATAGGTATGCTCAGACACGCAAAGCTTGTCTGCTTTGATAACTGAAGTAATGTGCTCTCACTCTCACTTCTCTATATAAATAAATGCAGAATATGGAAATCGGAACAATGTGTGTCACTGTCACAGGCCTTATTCCATTTGCAGTACCACTGGCTACCGCTGATACCCAATGCTGTTTTTATACACAGGGAGACATCATTTCCACCAATACGGTATTGTGAAAGGCTAGTTTCGATTTAATTATACATCCAATCTGCAATTCATTCAAAGGAACCTCAGAAAGAAACTTCAAATGCGTCAATTTGAAATCTTCCATTTCCACACTGTCTATTGTCATGACCCTTCCGAGTGATACTCCTAATTTAATGCCAAACAATGACCTGTTTATTTTGCAGTCCATTCATGCCCAACACAGCCTTATCCCATCTTAGAAAACCTGGCAACGAAAAGTGAGTGGAGACGTTTGCTTATGTTCAGACCCATGTCCCAAAGGTGAAAGGGCAGAGGCTTAAAGCCACTGCACGACCCAAACTGAAACCAATTACTTAACAAGAACAGACTGACGCTCCCCAAACATTTGGGTTCCTCTCCTAATGAGACACCCTAAATGGAGCAGGCATTTCTTCTGGGGTTTGTTGCAATGCAGATCGTACAAGCATATGAAAGGTGGGGGAGAGCTGTAATTCCCAATTCTTTTCTTTAAGGTAACATGTGAGTTATTTAGGTAACATTACTTCACTTATTTCTCTTTCAGACAGAAGACTCTTCAGCGACTGCAGGACGATTTCCAGAAGGCGGCAGAACGCGAGTATGAACTAATTGAGAGGCACAGGGCCAAACAACACTCACAGCTGAAAACCAAGGACGGGATTCAGTCCATCTCTTCGGAGGACCTAGGGAGGGAAGTACACAGACCGGCACATCTCCAGGCAGTCACAGCCAGGTGGGAATCCATGGAGGGACAGAAAGTGAAATCTGATGAAATTAAAGAAATTCAGCAGCAGGTAAGATATTCTGAAACTCTCCTCCATTACATGCAACAGATTTTTTTCTGTAAGGATGTTGGTACCGATTCCACAAGACAGATGTTTGCACATTACTGGTTACAAAGGAATGATAAAAAAGAAACCTTTGCGTTGTTTGTGATAGACTGTAAGACAGTGGATGCCTTCCACAGCTGTTCAATGTGGGACCTATTGATTGCATTGTGCTCCTGACGTTGTTATGTTAACATGGAAAGCCATGACAGAGAGCTAGATACTTCCTCACAGGGAGCAGCCAGGCCATCCTGTTATGCACCTGGTTCAAGAAGCTGTAAATTTCACTTCCAATTCTCAGCACTTTATATGAGATACATCTTACAACAACATTCCTCTCCCTCCTCATCCAAACAAGACATTTGTATTTGCTCTGATTAGATATGCTAATTATAGTACAGCATATAAGTTGTCTGGTTACAGTGTGGCATACTTACTTGCGAAGGTGTATGTGTCTGTTTCTGTTTAGTAACTGGGCAAGAAAATAATCAAAGGTTCAGTCGTCAACCACCAGCCAGGCTCATGAAAAAAAATCAGAAGCAAATTCTTTGATATAAGCAAGTGCCCTTACTCCCACTTCTTGGTACTAAGGTTTTCTGGATCTACCTTATTTAGGATAGAGTTAAAATAAAATTGCCATCCTGTGTACCACTGTCTGTGTACCATTGTAGGAGGACAGAAAGAAGCAAATGGAGGAACGCAGCAGAGAAACGGTGGGAAAGTTCCGTGAGGCAGAGAAGCTGACTCCAGAGCGGGACTCAGAAAAAAGAAAGTGCAAAACATAGAAAGACAAAACATAATTTTAGGAGGAAAATGAACCAGTTCCAATCTCTGCTATGTTTACAATGGCCTTTAAGCAAAGCTTGAATGAGGTGCGGTGGTTTGTGTAGGGCGGTAGTAGGGGAAGAGAAATGAGGAATGAAAGAGAATTAACATCTAACATTAAGAACCCATTAATACTTGCAATATGGCTCAAGGACCGCATCACAGATTTGCAAGACACCACAGTTCAGTTTGTTATCGGTTTATGATTTTGAGAGAATTAAACATATTATTTACCATTCCTCCCTCAATTACCTTTCTACCTCTAGATGCTACCAGGGGAAGCTCATTAAATGATCCTCACCAACAGAAACCCCTCCAAACTGTAGTTGAAGGCTGTATCTTTTCATGACAAGGAATTTAAAAAAAAAATTCTTTAATTAAAAAGTAATATTTTTCAAACTGGTTCTGTCCAATGAAAATCTTTACTGTAGAATCTGCAAATTTGATTGGAATTCTGCTGTTGAAATATTGAAATGATGATCTGTTCACCATTCTTTCTAGCCCACGATTAGTGCACTTGTCTGTGTGTTATGAAAACTGTCAAACTCCTCTGAAATAAATTAAACCTGGTACTTAAAAACTCTACTTTGTTTCATTCTACTCATCAAATATTGCCATTATTTATTATATAGGAAAATAACTAACTCGATATAATGGGAGTCAACATTGCAGAGTGTGTTTCTGTTCATTCTACTTATTGGAATGAGGTGGCACTTTCCCAGATTCATCATCAGCGGAGTCCTGTAGCTCAGTGTTAGAGCACTCGCCTCGCAAGCGAGAGGCCTGGGTTCAATTCCCTGCAGGCGAAACCTTGGGCAAGTTTCCTTACTCCACACGCCTGATGATAATCCCTCAAGAAAAAAAATAATAAATTGGTCACTTCAATCTACGACTGTTTGTGGGACACTTCTGTGCACAATTGGCTGTTGCATTTCGCCCACAAATATACAGTCAATTCACTTTACAGAGAATGGAAGATTAGGGAACTATTTAATACAGATGAATAAATGACAAGAGTGAGGGAAATCAGTAAATTCCACATCAACAACAACAACTTGATTTATATAGCGCCCTCCATCACCAGAGGCTCAGAAAAGAGCCAAAGCAATGAGAAGGAAAATACAGAATACAGACTCAATCAGAATGAACAAAATAGCCTCTTCCTATTACTAGATATACATACGTACTGTAAACCCACCACCTGAATAGCAGTCTACTCATTTCAGCCTCCATAAGTCAAAACTAGGGTATTAAACGGTTCATTTATTAAGAAAATAAAAACAATCTTTCCAACAATATAAGAAATATACATACATACTCCAAAGGGCAAAGCAATGAAATTCATACTTTAGAGTGACAGCAAAATCAATAGATTCAACATTTCATTTGTTACTTTGGCTTCTTTCTAACATCCTCTTTTTATTCAGACATTAAAAAAAATCACATTTTCTCACTTACCACTTCTTCAGCTGAAGCATAGTTTTAGTACATGAAATTTACTGAAATCTTCAAATAAAAATGAGGTCACGTGTAGATAAGATGATACAAAAGAAAAGACAAAAGTGCAAAAGCTTAAGGTATGTGCAAACCTTTTTAAAATGGCATCCTCTTATTCAAAACACATTATGGCAGTATCACATGTCAAACCTGGTAAGTACGCCTCAGTTTTCAGTAAAACTTAGTGCATACAGAAACAGCGATTAGTTTTACAAAGTGCCTGAGATCAATATTGCTTTGGACACAGCACTTAAAAAACGACTGAGCCCCTCTGAAACAGTTTTATTGCCACATGCCCATCACCACTGTACTATGCGCACTTCATGTTGTAAAGGTAAGGTCGATGGTCTGGCCTGGCCTGAGATTTATCACGTGTGTCTGCTGTCTCGCAGATTGTTTCGAGGTTGCTGTGACCTTGTAAGAGCCAGGAGCCACTTCAATGTGAATCTCCTCAGTGCAATCAATCTGTTTGTTACAAAGAAACAGAGAGAGGTGGTCACCAAAGGTAGTTCAAGCTTTAAATGGTGGCAAATTATAAAGTCAAGATTTAACTTTTTTAAAAAAAAAATTCAACTGGCTACTGTAACCCCACTTTATTGCTGGTGAAGCTTCACATTTGCTGAATTAACTAAATTCTGGCAGGCAAACTGCAGGGTTGCATGTCTTTATCTTCTCTTTATACTTCCATACAAGAGAAAATCAAACTGCAGAGATTGCAAGAGTAGAAGTGACACCATTTGGGGAGTTTGGCGTGCCATGCTTCTCTCCTTCTCCTGCAGGTACTTACTCTTTGCCGGCTGCCCTCTGTCTTGCACAAGCGACTATTCTTTATGTGTCTCGGTAGTGGGTGCCAGCAGGATATTGGACGCTTAGTTTCGCCCCAAAAATATACAGTCAATTCCCTTTACAGGATATTCTGTGAAGCGCTTTGAAACGTCTTGAAGACGTGATAAGGTGCTCCATCAAATGCAAGGATTATTATTTTTAGGAAGCATTAGATACTGACTGACATTGCTCTCACCTGATATCTAACTATGTGTACTTTTTCAAATAGGGTTCACTTAATCCAAGATTGATAGAAGCCAATCTTAACTGAGATCAGCTAACAGAGTAGACAAGCAGCCTTCTGGGGTGCGTGCTTCAGTCAATTCTGATCAGGATTTACAGTAAACACGTAGCACATGTGGGTCAAGCACACAACTAAATGCTGCCGTACAGGTGCACTGTAGAATCTGATGTTCCTTTCAGAAGTGTTTCTCATTGCACTAGGGACAGGGCTAGGCCAAATACTTCAGTGTTAATTGGTGCTTAATGAATTGAACTGCTTTACAAACTAAAATTGGCATTAAAACATGATGTGATTCAGACAATAATGTGTATTGGCTTAAGTGTGATTACCTTTTTCCTCAGCGTATAAGCACCAATAGGTTAAATACGCATAACGACAGCACAAAGTTCATTTCTGCTCCCTACCCAGTCCATAACACTACCCTAAATGTTACTCACAGGCTGTCTGGACACTGATGGAGGAATCTTGTCCATTTGGTACTGCCGAATATGATTTTCCTCCCACTTGCTTCGACTAGAAGCTGGCTTGCTGTTAAAGTACTGCTGAAAAATGCAAGGTACAGGGTGATTGCAGTAAGGGTTGTGATTATTACAGCAAGCACATGTTACTGTATTAACACATCATTCACATCCAGCTCACCAGAGGCAGCGCACTTTGCTGTTTCAACCTTATTCCCAGCTCTTCTAGTTGATCATCCTAATATAATCTCTTGTTGTCACTCATCACGCAAACGCAACAGGTTGCATGAGGCAGCACAGGTGAGTGACAGCAAGAGTCAGAGCTGAAGGTACGAGTCATATCTCCTGCACCGTTCCTCCTTCCAGCATTCTGCTTGGCCTCGTGCCTCGAACAACCTCGGGGCCATAAGCCATTGTTTACCTGTTTTATTGGCTAATTTGGCTGGAATTGGCTCTGCCACACCATGCGATCCAATAAACATTTCACTCAGTATTGAAGTACAGCTGGTGATAGTGGTTGGTGTATTTTGAGATGATGAATTAAGGCAATCACAAGATGTGATTGAGACAATAATGTGTATCGGCTTAAGTGTGATTTTTTTTCCCTCCCTCTGGGTATAGGCACTAATTGGTTAAGTAAGTATAGTGACAGCTCAGAGTTAATTTCTGTTCCCTTCCCAGTCCATAGCACTACCCCAAATGTTACTCACAGGCTGCCTGGACACTGATGGAGCAATATCGTCATTATGGTACCGACGAATATGGTTTTCCTCCCAATTGCTTCGACTAGAAGCTGGCATGCTGTCATAGTACCGCTGTAAAATGAAAGATACAGGATTACGAAAGGTACAGGATCCGAAACACTGATTGTCTAGGGCCTTGGGAAGTCCTCCCGACGTGAAAGGCGCTATACAAATGTAATTTTGTTGTTGTTATTGCAGTAAGGGTTGTGATTATTACAGCAAACACATGTACTGTATTAACACATCATTCACATCCAGCTCACTGGAAGCAGAGCACTCTGCTGTTGTCGAGTTGTGATTATTACAGCAAACACATGTACTGTATTAATACATCATTCACATCCAGCTCACTGGAAGCAGAGCACTCTGCTGTTGTCGAGTTGATCAATTTAAAATATAATCTATGTGGGATCTTCCACACCATGCCTCCAGCCTGTGTATCTGCACTGATTCAGAACAGAGTGCCTGTAATGACGAGTTAAGCATTTATCAACAAATAAATGTGGCTAATACTGTACGGATGCTGGTAACTTTCCAACTCACCTGGCACTGTTTGGTTGAGTGGGCCATAAACTGTAGGATTGAAGCAAAGGCTTCATCAAAGTTCATTTGACCCTGTCAAAGAAACACATTGTTAGAGGTCCTTATGCAGATTCCCAGTTAAGTGTTCAGAGCCATTAAGAAACTGGCTAAGGAAGTTAACTACCCTGACACCTGCCCTCCTAAATCACATTGGAATACTTATAATACATCCTACTGGTAATATAGAGATCAAATAATATTAATTATAACCATGACCAGATACAGCCAACTCTCCCATTAATGAGCAGATTAACGAGCCAGTGTAAGTACTCTACATATCAAGTTTTATTTCCGTTGTTTTAAATGTCCCTCTCTGTGACTGTTACAAAACCAGCTCTTGTGATACACAGTGAGGAAGGCAGTGCAATAGGTAATGCTTGCTCAATAGTAACTTATAGTCAAACCCTTCAATTTCCAAAACACAAAGATATTCGTCAAATAATTTAGCACATATCACGTTAATGGTGGCGGTTTGGGGGAGAATTAAAATAATTCAGTAAAATTAACCAAACCAAAGTTATACAACAAATACATAATGCAACAACTTGCAATTATATAGTGCCCTTCACACAAGGCAGCATCTCAGAGCGCAACATTCCTTCCTCAGACAAAAAAAATATTTATGTGTTTTATCCCATTAAACACCATCTGGGCTAAAGTACACCGTGTTACCTCACTATTATGGAAAATCAAAGAATGGCTGATTTTGCTTTTTTAGTGAGGTGCTTTCATTAGTCAGTTTGGGATTTTAGTCACTATCAATTATCAATTCCACATGAAAACAGAATATAAAGTATCCTGAAAAGTGAATTGTGATTTTGAGAGGTCCATGAAGTTAGGTTATAGTGTATTGAATAGGCTTCCTATTGTATCCCTAAAGATAATCAAATTCACCATCCTACCCCCGGCCTCCCAAACATCACGGTTGAACCCTTGTTTGATTCCCAACACAGACATTTCCTCTCTTTTCCCCTCCCCCACTTGGCCATGCAGCACAGTAATTATTATACTGTGTGCAGCATTTGTTCATTTCAGTCTGCATCCTAAAAGTGTATTCCTTATATGGTTACCTATCTAGTTCTCTTATGAAGGAATTAATCAATGTAACATCTGTCCTTGGTGGGATGCATGTACACTATTCTGAGGGAGAAAACATTATTCCAATCTCTAGTGCTGTTTGAGCGATTCAATTTTAAACCTAAGGCATATTTATAAGCATATGTTCATTATCTTGACCTATCACCTCATCCTCTGGTGCTGAATACATCACTCCCCGTCTTAAAACCTCATATTCTGGGGTAGAATATGTCAATGCTCCTTGTCCTAGCACCTCATGTTCTGATGGTGGACGTGACTCTTTTACTCTCGGCACCTCATCGGCTGATGATGGCTCTGTCTCTTTTTGCCCTATCACTCCATCTTCTGATGGTGGACATATCTCTTGTTGACATATCTCTTGTTGCCCTATTATCTCATCTTTTGATGGTGGAAATATCTCCTCTTGACTCATCACTCCATCTACTGATGCCGGATTTGTCTCTTCTGGTGCTATCATTTTATGTTGTGATGGTGGACGTATCTTTGCTTCTTTCACCAAACCATGTTTATGTCCCGAACATATCTCTGCATCTGTAATCAAACCATGTCTTTGTGCCGAGCAGATCTCTGCTTCTGTTATGAAACCATATCTGAGTGCTTGACATATCTCTGCTTCGGTCACCAGAGTATGTGTATGAGCTGGACCCATCTCTGCCTCTGATACCATCTCATATTCAGGCGATTGACGCATCTGCATCTCTTCTTCTCCTCCAACCACATATTTTGATGTATTTCTCATCACTGAACGTGTTGGTGCTTCTCCCACTAAAAGTTTAGATTCATCTCTCACCGGTGGTGATTTTGGTTCATCTCTCACTAATGGTAATTTTGGTTCATCTCTCACCGGTCGTGATTTTGGTTCATCTCTCACCAATGGTAACTTTGGCTCATCTCTCACCAATGGTAATTTTGGTTCATCTCTCACCAATGGTAACTTTGGCTCATCTCTCACCAATGGTAACTTTGGCTCATCTCTCACCAATGGTAATTTTAGATCAAATCTCACCAATGGTGATTTGGGCTCATATCTCGCAGGCACACGTTTTGGTGCTTTTCTTACTGGAGGTTTAGACACCTTTTCCACCATTAGTGGTTTTGGTCCATGTCTCAATACTGGATGTTTTAGCGCTTCTCCCAACACAGGTTTAGGCACTTCTTTCACCACCACTTTCTTTGGTGCTTCTTCTGTGGCTGGAATTTTAGCCACTTCTTTCTCTACGGCACGTTTTGGTGCCTCTCTTCCCATCTCATATCTCGGTACATCTCTCTCTGCTGCCTGTTTTAACGCTTCTCTCAGCACTCTCAGCTCTGCATGTTGTTGTGCATCTCTCAGCTCGGCTTGTTTTAGTGCATTTATTAGTTCTGCGTGGATAAGTGCGTCTCTCTTCCCCAGATCTGTTGGTGCTTGTCCTCCAACAGCAGGTTTAAGCACTGCTTTCACCGCTGTATTTTTTGGCGATTGTCCTTTCACCACATTTTTCAGTGACGGTTCCCTCACTGCATTGTTTGCCGCTTGTCCTCTGCCTGCAGGTTTTGGGGATGCTACTCTCACTCCATATTTTGACACTTGTCCTCCCATTGCAGGTTTTGTCGATTGTCCTCCCACTCCAGGTTTTGGTGATGGTGCGCTCATTACATTACTCACCACATGTCCTCCCACTCCAGGTTGTGGTGATGGTGCTCTCACTACATTACTCACCCCTTGTTCTCCTATCCCAGGTTTTGGTGATGTTGCTCTCATTGCTTTATTCACTGCTTGTCCTCCTACTCTAGGTTTTGATGATGATGCTCTCACTACTTTATTCACTGCTTGTCCCCCTACTCCAGTTTTTGGTGGTCCTCTTACTGCAAATTTTGGAGCTTGCCCTCTCACTATACATTTTGGTAATAGCCCTCTCTTCACATTATTCAGCACTTCTCCTCCCATTTCAGTTTTTGGTGATGCTACTCTTAATGGGTATTTTTGTATCCTTTCTCCTTTAGCATATGTTAGTGATTGTCCTCTCACCACCTTCATTGTTGCTTGTCCTTTCACTGCATTTTTTGGTGATATTCCTCTTGCCACATATTTTGATACTGGTCCTTCCACGGCCACCGTATATTTTGGTATCTCTCTTACCGTCGAATGTTTTAGTGGTTCTTCTCCCACCTCGAGTTTATGTGTTTGAGATGCGTCTGCACCTGTCACCATCTCAGGTTTGTGTGCTGGAAATATCTCTTCATCTGTCATCACCTCAGGTGTATGTGTTGGAGATGAGTCTTCATCTGCCACTATCTCAGGATTGTATGCTGGAGATGAGTCTTCATCCGCCACTATCTCAGGATTGTATGCTGGAGATGAGTCTTCATCCGCCACTATCTCAGGATTGTATGCTGGAGATGAGTCTTCATCCGCCACTATCTCAGGATTGTATGCTGGAGATGAGTCTTCATCTGCCACTATCTCAGGATTGCTTGCTGAAGATGAGTCTTCATCTGCCACTATCTCAGGATTGCATGCTGGAGACGAGTCTTCATCTGTCACCATTTCAGGTCCATGTGTTGGAAATGCCTGTTCATTGGTGACCACCTCAAGTTCATGCGTGGGAGATGTCTTATCTGTCACTGCCTCGGGTTTGTCTACTAAAGATGTCTCTTTGTCTACCTCCAGCTCAACTTCATGTGTAGAACACATCTCTTTTATCACCAACTCATGTTCATGTGCAGAACATATCCCTTTTATCACCAACTCAGGTTCATATGCAGAACATGTCCCTTTGATCATGGGCTCAGGTTTATGCATTGAACATGTCCCTTTTATCACCAACTCAGGTTCATATGCAGAACAAGTCCCTTTGATCACGGGCTCAGGTTTATGCATTGAACATGTCTCTTTTATCACCAACTCAGGTTCATGTACAGAACATGTTTCTTTTATCACCAACTCAGGTTCATGTGCAGAACATGTCCCTTTGATCACAGGCTCAGGTTTATGCATTGAACATGTCTCTTTTATCACCAACTCAGGTTCATGTACAGAACATGTTTCTTTTATCACCAACTCAGATTCATGTGCAGAACATGTCCCTTTGATCACGGGCTCAGGTTTATGCATTGAACATGTCTCTTTTATCACCAACTCAGGTTCATGTGCAGAACATGTTCTTTTGATCATGGGCTCAGATTTATGCATTGAACATGTCTCTTTTATCACCAACTCAGGTTCATGTACAGAACATGTTTCTTTTATCACCAACTCAGGTTCATGTGCAGAACATGTCTCTTTGATTCCCAACTCAGGTTTATGCATAGGGCATGTCTCTTCTGTCATCACCTCAGGATTTTGTTTCGGAGGGGTCTCTTTTTCCATCACCACTTCACATTTATGTGTTGGAATAGTCTCTTCAGTCATTATCTCAGATATATATATTGGAGATGTCTTCGCTTCTGTGACCAACTCAGCTTTACTTGTTGGCGATGTCTCCAGTTCTATAACCACCTCAGATTTTTGAGTTGAAGATGTCTCTTTATCGGTCACAAGCTCAGATTCATGTTTTAGATATATCTCCGCTTCTCTCACCATCTCACGTTCCAGTGTTGGAGATGTTTCTTTATCTGCCATCATCTCAGGTTCATGTGTTGAAGATATCTCTTTATCGGTCACAACCTCAGATTCATGTGTTGGAGATATCTCTTGATCGGACACAACTTCACATTCATCTATTGGAGATGTCTCTACTTCTGTCACCATCTCAGGTTCATGTGTTGGAGATGTTTCTTTATCTGCCATCATCTCAGGTTCATGTGTTGGAGATGTTTCTTCATCTGCCATCATCTCAGGTTCATGTGTTGGAGATGTTTCTTTATCTGCCATCATCTCAGGTTCATGTGTTGGAGAGATCTCTTTATCGGTCACAACCTCAGGCTTATGTGTTGGAGATGGGTCTGCTTCAGTCACCAGCTCACGTTTACTTGCAGATGTTTCCACTTCTGTCTCCACCTCATGGTTATGCGTTGAACATCCCTTTGCATCTTCCACTATCTCAGCTTTATGTGTTGGACACCTCTTTGCTTCTTCCATCACTTCATGTTTATGCGCTAAACATCTCCCTGTTTCGGTCACCACCTCACGTTTATGTGCTGCACATCTCCCTGTTTCTGTTACCAGCTCCCGGTTATGTTTGGGACATTTCTCTGTTCCTGTCACTACCTCACGCTTATGTGCTAAACATCTCTGTGTTTCTGTCACCACCTCATGTTTATGTGCTGCACATTTCTCTGTCCCTGTCACCACGTCACGATTATGTGTTGGGCATTTCCCTACTTTTATCACCCCTTCACGGTGATGTGTTGGACATTTGCCTGCTTCTGTCATCACCTCACGTTTATGTGCTTGACATCTGTGTGCTTCTGTGGTCTCCTTACTTTCATGTACTGGACATCTCTTCACTTCAGGCACCGCATCACGGTTAAGTGTTGGATATTTTCCTGCTTCTTCAACTACCTTATGCTTATTTGCTTCACATGCCTTTGTTTCAGTCAGCACCTCACAATTATGTGTTGGACATGTCCTTTCTTCTTTTAGAACCTTGGATTCATGAGGTTGAAACATTTCCACTTCTCTTCCCGCCCTATGTTTTGGTTCATCTTTCAGTACCTCATATCTTGATAGATCTCTCATTAACTCGTGTCTTGGATCTTCTCTCAAAACCTCATATCTTGGTTCACCCCTAAACATCTCAAGCTTTGGTTCATCCACGAACACCTTATATATTGGTTCACGTGCCACCATCTCAATTCTTGGTTTATCTCTCACCACCTCAAGGTTTTGTTCATCTCCCAACAACTCCTTCATTGGTTCATGTCTGAGTACCGCATGGCTTGGTTCACCTTGCAATAGCACACGTTTAAGTGCTTCTTGCGTAAACTCTTGTTTTGGTGGTGGGTTTGGTGGTCCTTGCCTCAATGATGGATGTTTTTGTGCTTCTGGACTGACTGTGTATTTTGTGGAGTCCCAATTTCCTTCGTTTCTCATCATTCCAGGTCTCATTAATCCAGGCCTCATTACCTCATTTTTAGGTAGTGAAACCACTCCTTCTGGTTGCATCTCCACATGTCTTAGTGGCTGTGTTCCCACCATATGTTTTGGTGCTTGATATGGCCCTTCTTGTCTCAGTACCTCTTGTTGAGGTGCAGGACCTGTCCCACCTTGCCTTACCACATCATAAGGTAATGGACCTGTCCTTGCTTCTCTTCCAAAAACAGGTTTTGGTGCTTGATATAGCCCTGCTTGTCTCAGTACCTCTTGTTGAGGTGCAGGATATGTCCCAACTTGCCTTACCACATAATAAGGTAATGGACCTGTCCTTGCTTCTCTTCCAAAAACAGGTTTTGGTGCTTGATATGGCCCTGCTTGTCTCACCATTCTTGATCTCAGTACCTCCTGTCTGAATACCAAACCTGTACCTCCTCCCCTGCCCAAATCACGTGTGGGTGCTGTACTTGCCCTGGTTTGTTGGACCATCTGATATGTAGGTGCTGGACTTGCCCTGCTTTGTCTGACCATCTGGTATGTAGGGGCGGGACTTGGCCCTCTCGGTCTGGCTATGTCACGTGTAGGGGCGGGACTTGACCCTCTTGGTCTAACTATATCACGTGCAGGGGCAGGACTTGGCCCTCTTGGTCTGACTATGTCACGTGTAGGGGCGGGACTTGGCCCTCTTGGTCTGACCACCTCACGTGTAGGGGTGTGACTTGGCCCACTTGGTCTGAGCACATCACGTGTAGGGGCAGGACTTGGCCCGCTTGGTCTGACCACCTCACGTGTAGGGGCGGGATTTGGCCCTCTTGGTCTGACCACCTCACGTGTAGGTGCTGGAACTGTCCCTCCATGTCTCACTACCTCATGTGCTGGTGCTCCTTCTTTCACAAACATAGCTACTGGAAATACCTCTGCCGCTTGTCCCACCAACTCATCTCTCAGTGCTGAAGATACTGCACCAACTGTTGTACCACTTGATGGCCCACCAACTGACCAATGTACTTGTCTCTGCTGTGCGCGCCTCAGCACTTCAAGTCCAAGTTGTGCTGAGGATCTCAAAGAATATTCAATGCGACTGCACCTATTTTCCATGGTTTTCACCCTGATGAGACAGCAGAATGATTGGTAAAGATCCGTCGACTTTTTCTGTCTCTCAAACAAAAAGATATTTAAGACATAGCATAAAATTATTCTTAATAGGACCATCCAGCTTTAGCATAACTTTTCTGTACACTATATGACGATTTACACTAGAATCCATTTCCCTTTATAACGCTGCTTTAGAACTAAACCTCCAATGAATCTTATTCTGCAAAACAATATTCTATTAGTCTTTGTTGTACTTTGGTCCACTTTCAATTCTACTGAAACTGCAATGCAGAACAATATGGAAAATACATTAAAGGATAGCAAGAGGATGCAAAGCTGCAATTTAAACATCACTCAAGGTTCATTTTTTACTTTGCATTGCCTTAATAGAATTAAGATTAAAGGCAAATTGCTTCCTTCCAACTATGGTGCTTCAAAGTGCAAGCAAAATTCATGTGTTTTCCATTCACATATATCTACAGAATCAGAAGTATGAGCAGAGGAGAGAGTGCGTTCCTTCTGTCACTCGGCCTCACATACTGGATTCATTTTTTTTAATATACATGTGGCTGATATTGCTCTTCTCATGCTAAAGACCAAGTAATCAATCCAATCTGTTTTGCACAGAAGGCTGCACTAAGTGAAAGAATGTAGCACCTTGCATTGAAACATTTCAATGCACTCAACATTAACACATGTTAAGGAATTAACTACAAAAACAATCACTTTACCAAAATAAAAAGATTTATATCACGTAATTACCATAGGAAGATGTCCCAGAGCATCGAGATGAATCAGTCAAAGGAATAGGTTTGAAAGAGAAGACAGAGAGGGGCCGAGGTAGTGTTCTAGAGGTTAAGGGCATACTACCTAATGGCTGGGCCATCAATGCCAACGCAACTGGCAAATTCATGTAACAAGCACAAGCTTAGCTGAGAGGGGAGGAAAGGATAATGGAAGATCAAACTGGATGCTGAAGTTACACAGCGGTTCGATGAGTTTAAGACAGACCAGGGAGGTAGAGGAAGTCAGATTTAACAGTAATTATTGTAAAACACTTTGATACTTTGACATTATAGGCACCATACCAAACTAAAGTATGTATTATTATTATATGATTACTTTGAAGAAATTATCCTTTCAGTTGGGTTTAGCTCTTGGCTTCCCCAGTTTGCATTAGGTAATTTGGTGCTATTAAACAGAAATGCAATGGATGTTCAGGTAATGTATTTGGCGAATATGAATGAGGGAGAAATATTGGCTGAGACACCAGAACTCTGTGCTCCTTCGAATCGTGCAGTGGGTTCCCATGAATTACCAGGACAGGTTACATATGCAATGGCTCATCTGAAGGGCAACACTCCCGACAATGCAACACTCCCTCAGTCTCCTATACTGCAGGAGTGTCACCGCGGATAATGAACTCCAACCTCAATCCCAATACATTCAATCTTGAAGTGAAAGTGCTATCAAATCGGAGAGAAAAATACCATTCGATCAGGACTAGCTTTGCATTAAAAGCAATTGAAACAACTACGTTGACAATCTTTGTGTTTTGCTGTCTCCCTCGTTCCCCCCCACCCACCCCACCCCCCACACCCACCCCACCCCCTCCCAGGCTTAACAAATATGTGACCACACTTTGAGACTCAATTACTTTTATGCTTTTCTCTCGATTACGAAAAAAAGATAAAGATCTCCATAGGGTATTTTAAATGGGGGTTTGCCCCATTTGTCCCCCTGTTTTTTTTTGGCTTTTTTTTTTGGGGGGGGGGGGATCGCAAAGCACGTCCCTGACATCTTACCCGGTGTTTTTCCACTCAAGTCATTCATCACTTACACAGACAACTGCAGCATTTATGTCCCTCTCAAATTGCGGGTTTGAATTTCTTTCCTGAGTCTGTTTCTGGGTTCCCCCTCTCTCTCTCTCTCTCTCTCTCTCCCCTCTCTTTTCCTCTGGGTGATTTTACTTTAAAAGCAACCCAAAGAGGCAAAGGGAATGGACCCCCCCCCCACCCACTGAATGGTCCCCAGTAACACACCTCTCACCAGGTTATGGCAAGTGTTGCTCTTCCTTCCGCGAACAGCTACAATGTTGCGCTGCGCGAGCGTGGCTGGAGGGCTGGGCCGCGGGGCGTCTCGGGAGTTGTAGTCTGTCCGTGTCATCTCCCTGACTGGTCAGCACGTCTGCGCAGGCGCCGAACCCCCTCTGTCTCTCGCTCCCCTCCCCACCCGAACTACAGTTCCCAGAGTGCACCGGCGGTCAAAACCGCGCAGAAGCAGAAGCAGCTTCCCACCTGAGGCACATCCACAGTAGGTTCAAACACAAGAGATCAACCTGATTAATAATAATAATAATAATAATAATAATCCTTGCATTTGATATAGCGCTTTTCACGTCGAGAGGACGTCCCAAAGCGCTTCACAGAACACACTGTAAAGTGAATTGACTGTATATTTGTGGGCGAACGCGGCAGCCAATTGCGCACAGCAATGTCCCACAAACAGTCGTGGATTGAAAATGACCAATTTATTATTGTTTTGGGTTTTGGAGGGATTATTATTAGGCTCTGTGTGGAGTACGGACACTTGCCCGAGGTTTCGCCCTGACCTGCCTGGAATTGAACTCAGGTCTCTCGCTTGCAAAGCGAGTGCTCTAACCACTGAGCTACAGGACTCCACAATGGATGAATGAATGAATTGATTAATGAATTAATTAATCAATTAAGCAGGGCCACCTTACCTGCTCATAGACACCTTTTACTCCTTTTTATGTAAAACGCGGATTTGAAGCCGGACTTTAAAGTGCGACGATTATCCAGAATGGTCAAGCTGTGACATTTCTTCTCCCAAATTAGATGTGTTTTTTTAATCCAGTCAAAAGAAAAGAAGAAGCAGGGACAAGACTGAGAACAGATCCAGCGCTAAAGGGGGGGGGGGGGTTCAAAAGGTACATCTGGTCAATCAGCACCTGAAAGAAAGAGAGAGAGAAAAAATACAGATCAATATTTGGGTGCGACCCTTCCTCTGAACTGCAACTTGGTTAGGTTGAAGAGGTCCCTTTACATCATTTTGTTTTTTTGTGGGGGGGGGGGCGGTCAGCCGAGTACCTGACACAGGTGGAAGTCCATCACTACGATTAACCAAGCTGAGATTTCCACGCATCCCACCTACACGTGAACATTCCAGAGATCGATAGAGATAATATTGGCAGTTCTGGCATTCGTTGTAGGGAATCACTGATGATGCTGTGCATATGGGGTATCGATTAATCCTTGCATTTGATATAGCGCTTTTCACGTCTTCTGGACGTCCCAAAGCGCTTCACAGAACACACTGTAAAGTGAATTGACTGCATATTTGTGGGCGAACGCGGCAGCCAATTGCGCACAGCGGAGTCCCGCAGACAGCCGTGGATTGAAAATGACCCAATGTATTACTGTTTTGTTTTCTTGGAGGGATTATTGGCGGTTATTGGCGAGTGATTGGATTTGAGGTTCGATCACAAAGGGGATCGCCTGCTGATCACAGGTTCCCTCAGCGTGGGACAGTGTGTTTGTTGATGTCTCGACTTGGTGAGGAATTGTTTCACTGTAAATTACACAGGTTCACCGCAGGGGAGCGCCTTCCCCTTATGAATGGGGTGGGGGCTGTGTGTGTGTGTGTGTGTGTGTGTTGTGTGTCATGTGTGTGTTGTGTGTGTATATGATTGTAAACCCACCGAC